CAGTAAGTAAAGAAATAGCGAAAGCGGGAAAAAATATGATTACAATCACACGCAAATTGATTTGGCAAACCTCTGGTCCTTGTACAAGCCCCTGGAACGGTTGATAAAAAAGATCTTCGACACCAGCAGAAAGATCTCGAACGAGACCGAATGGATTTCCAATGATATCCAAACCCAACACGAGCACATACATCTTAAAAATACAAATCAAAGCACTCCCCGGGTAAAAAACTGCAGCTTACTTGACGCAAGGCCTGCATTGTATAATGTGATATGATTTCGCTATTCAGTTGGTCTGCTCGATAAAACACACATTTTCTTTCGAAGTAGGCAAGTCTGGAAACAAATTTATAAGAACCACGAAACAAAATCAAGAAAAATCCAAAAACAATAAAAACGAAAATAGTATTTAGCCAATTCTATTGTCTGGGAGAAAAGGCACATTACCAGAGATAGAAAATTCACTGCTCACTTGAACACAACATCCTGCAGCTCTGTGACTGAAACTCCAACGCTCTGGAACAAGACTTTGAAAAATTCAGATTGGATGGGCATAGCTGCAGTAGATCCTCCTCTTGTGGTTCCTCCTTGTGAAAAGGAAAGATGGATCTAGGAGCAAATTTTAGGGATTAATTCGCCTGAGAGCAAAAAGAGGATCAAACCATGAGCGGTGAGATATGCAGATCATTGTAAAAGGATCTCGGTTGATTTGAACGATACTGCTTAGCAGTATCTTCCAAACGTACAAGAGCTATGTCCATATCCTTATCGAACAGCTCTTTCTGAAGGACGGATCTTACAAGCCCAGAAGTCTGCGAAATCCACGAGAAGAAAACTTACATCATAAGGTTTCCTATTGACTTCTGATGCTATCAAAGCAAGTAATGCATTGATGAGACCTTGATCAACTTGAACTGCGAACTCCTGCACAAGCATACGAGCATATTCGATTTCTGGTATTGTTGAGAACTCCGACTGCCTTTGCAGCAGGGCAACTTCGATAAACGGTTTGGGAGCTGAAAACTTGATGTTGAAAATGTGGGGTACGAAAAACCTACAAAAGTTTCTTAACCATTGTCAGCGACAATACTTTTCGGAGGTGGCACGACAGCTAGCACCCGTGGGAATACGCAGTCCACGAGCTAAAACTGTCCACATTAAAAGCATAATTCCTCTACTTGCGAGTCCGGATGAGCTAATAACGTGAAAGTACCTGATTATCCACTTGTAGGTGATTGACTTTTAAATGCAGACGAGTTCGTTCCGCGCTCTTGCCGTAATTAGCCCATATCCCTAGAATGAAATTTTTATTTCTCGATTTTTTGACGCATTCTCTTGACTGATTACTATTGTTTGCTTGCTTGCTATTGGTAGTTTTTTGCCTCCGTTACACACATAAAGAATATGGACTTGATAGAAAAAAAA